TTATATAAACAGAGAAGAGCTTTTATTTTCATCCACTTACTCTAAACGATGAAAGATCATCCTCGACTTCAATGAAATCTTGAATGGTATTTCCAACAGCAGTCAGGACACGATCAATGACATGGACAACACCATTGGTAGCAATCTGGTTGCCATGGATGATCCTGGCACAGTTAACAGTAACAACCTATATTTGAAGAATCAAGTAGTAGAAGATAAAACATTAATTTGATCACAAGCTTGGAACCTGATTCTCACAGACTGGCAGTGTATGTATTGTGCATTGAATATTCACTGTTCAGTTGGGTTTTTTTCAAAATTTGAACTAAAGCCTTGTAAGATTTAAAAGCTTGACTAAGCTCCTGGAAAGGTGGCAGCAGATTTATTCAGGTTACATTGATTTCATATTCATGTTTAATTTCTTGCTGCAATTATTCTGATTTAGTTTTTCTTATCTGGCTAATATAGTGATTGTATTGATTTTTTAGTGAGGCAGCCTGTAGACATACAAACATTTTGATGCATTTAAGACAACAAAGATGAGTGACTTAACTGGGAGGTTTCTAGCATTTATAAAAATGATGTTTCTTCTAGCCAAATAATGGATATGTGCTTCCTACAACCTTCAATACTCCTACTAGGCACTCAAATAAAAATAGAAGACCTCTTTTAACATTATTTAGCAAAACTATGAAGATAAACAGTAGATTTTCTTATCAAATTTATTATGCTCTTGTATTTTGACCACAAAAGGCTTTGTCTTTTATGAACAAAATTCATTATCATTTGAACCTGGATTTCTAAACAGCACAATGTTTACTCATTCTTTCTTGGTGATTAGTCTACACAGCAGTCAAAAGTTCCTCGAGAGAATATTTATTGTTAGTGGCAACTGACTTGGCAGATGGTAAACTTTTGATAATATATAATCTTAGTTATAGAAGGAAATAAAGGCAATAAAGGCTACAACTAAATAAATATCTTGGGAGAAAAAAGAGAATAGACTTACCCCATTAGGATAATGGTTAATAAGCAATTTCTGGCCATTATACATAGATACCAGGGTCATGCCATTCTTAAGATCTTTTGTCAACATGCGCTTGTTTAACATGTGGTGGTGGAGAGCATTATACAGTTCAATATTTACATTGTCAACCAAATTCCTGTGAATTTCCTGAAGAAGAAAATGAATTTAATTAATTAGAAGATTCAAAACACTCTTCCACTCAGAAAAATGTAAGCATTGCCTTACCTTAGTATATGCCTTCAACATATTTAGTATCTGTTAGGGAAGACAACTTTGATTCCTACAAATCAGTTTCCACATAAATGATTTTTAAGTCTGATTTGCTCACAAATGGAAGATGAGACTTCATCATAGACAAGTCATTGGAGGAGCTTGAATTCAATGTTATTTAACTAAAATCATTACTAAAAGAAGGACACCTGAATTACCGACAATGTACATACATACATCATGCAGGAATTCCTAGGAGTTTCACTGAAACTATGTTAATAAATGTGTCATGCAAATGCTTAAATAAGAAGCAATTACAGTTGCTTAGCACTCCTGAAAGTAAACCTCTCTTGCTCCAGAAATGTATGTTAAGCATGTAGATTATTTAATTATTACTTGTATTATGTCCTTCTATGTCTGAAATCTCAACATCATTTCCAATCTAATTTATCCATTACTAGCTGCTTCAGCTAAAATGTTTAACTCATGCACATGCACACAGACACACACACTTACTGAATCTAATTGGTCCCAGGCTTCATTGCTTGGTGCAAATAAAGTGAATGATCCTTGTCCCTCTATTTCTTCTCTTAGTTTTGATATGTCAGAGTAGCGCTGTGTGGAGGTAGCTCCCACAATACCCAGTGTACCATAGACATGATCAATAGGAGCAACTGAAATAAACATGAGGTAAGAATACTGTAAACTCTTCAGTCCCCCAGTTTATCACACTCAAATTTTCTTTGTGTCTTTTGGATGCATAACATTTCTGAAACTGTTTAAGTCAGTATTAAACTACCTGTTTAGATTAAAAATTTCATTGTCAACATACTCAAGAATCATCTAAGCACATCTGCTTGCTATTGCTTTTTGTGTTTTACTTAATGAAAGATTAGATCAAACAAAACTGAATATTTTAAAATTGAATATTTTAAAATTTATTTTAGAAGAGCTGTTGTATTTTGTATTAACCCAACATGAAATGGGAAGCTATCCATTTATAATCAGAAAAAATTTCAGTGGAGTGAGTCTTATTCAGTCACAATGGACCAGAATTCTTTTTGTGAAGCCTCTTACTCTTCTTCCACTGCCTGGTTTATGATTCAGCCAGAGAGTAAGAGTGGCCATG